GGAAAGTTTAACCCTCTCCTGGCCGGGCCTGCCTCTGCGGGGCTTGTGCCCTGCCAGCACAGCCAGGAGAGGAGGAGAGTGTGTGTGTGTGTGTCTCTCCCGGCCCGCACACCCACCGCAATCCTGGGACATGGCCTGTGTGTGTCGGAGTGTGTTCTTACTCTCTTACAGTCCAGCGCTACAGGTTAGTAAAGGCTAGGCTGAAGAAACTCCCCACTCATATTTCTACAACTCCGCATTGCAGGAAGGCTGTGTCTGTGTTTGTGTGCGTATGTTTCTGAGTGTGTGTTGTCTTTGCGTGTGTTTCTGCGTACTTCTGTGTGTGACAGTGTTTCTGCGTGGATCCATGTGTGATTGCATGTGAGTGTTTGTTGTCTGCGTGTGAGTGTGAATCCATGTGTGATCGCGTGTTTCTGCATGTGTGTTATCCGCATGTGAATGTGTATCCGTGTGTGATTGTGTGTCGGCAGGTTTCTGAGTCCGGTTATGTGACTGTGTTTGTGTGGGCGACCAGCTGTGTGGGTCACTTGTGCGTCTGTGCGTGTTCGTCACTCCTGGGCAGGACTCACGGACCTCAAACAGTTAACTATCGCTCTGCTGTTTTTTCCTCAAAAGCAAATATTGATTTAAATCTTGAGGCAGGGAGCAGACAGAGTGCCCGATAGCTGGGCTCCGCTCGGGGCCTGGGGAAGCAGGCTGGGTTTGGATCACGAGCTGCAGCTGTGGCTCAGGGGAGGGCTGGGCGCATCTCTGACCCCCAGGACAGAGGAAGGAAAAGCAGAGGCAGCAGGAGGACGGGAGAAGGATTTTGGGGTACCTGAGAAAGTTTCCCAAGGAGAGGAAACGCCGTGAGGACACACCCCCTCCTGTCAGCGCGACCCTTGCAGGTCTATGCTGGGTGCTGGGGGTGCGACGCTAATTAGTTTCCTGCCCGGAGAGGGGGAACTCGCCCCGCAGCCCGTTGGTTCCACCCCGAAGCGCGCGGTGTTTATTTGGACGGGGCTGTGCCCGGGCTTCCGGGCATTCTTGGGGAGCGGAGAGCAGGGCGTTGCTCGGCGGCGGCGCGCAGGAAACGGCCATCGGCCCGGAGACAATGGGTCATTGTGGCCGGGAGTGGGGGGGTTCGCGTGCAGCCCGAGCCGAGAGGAAAGGCTCCCTTTTACGACACCGGCTAAAAATACCAGGGTCAGGACTCCGCGCGCTGACTGCTCCTTCCTGCTCTCTCCTCCTGTCTTCCTCTGTCCAGCTCCGCCGCGCCCCTCCAGAGAAAGGGGCGGGCCAGCTGCTCGTCTCGAGGAGCCCACCTCTCCCCCTGTGAGACCCCCAGGGCGGGGAGTGGTCAGTTCTGGGCCCCTGCCTGACGTCCTCCGGTGTCCAGCGGTTTCTCTCTCGCTCC